GGGTCAGTTTGGGGGGTCAGGGTCAGTTTGGGGTCGGGGTCAGTTTGGGGTCGGGGGTTTGGGGTCAGGGTCAGTTTGGGGTCAGGGTCAGTTTGGGGTTGGGGTGGGGGGGGGGTCAGGGTCACTCCAGGGGTGCAGTGGTCACCCCGGGGTGCAGTGGTCACTCTGGGGTGCAGTGGTCACTCCGGGGGTGCAGTGGTCACCCCGGGGTGCAGTGGTCACTCTGGGGTGCAGTGGTCACCCCGGGGTGCAGTGGTCACTCGGGGGTGCAGTGGTCACTCCGGGGTGCAGTGGTCACCCCGGGGTGCAGTGGTCACTCCAGGGTGCAGTGGTCACTCCGGGGTGCAGTGGTCACCCCGGGGTGCAGTGGTCACTCTGGGGTGCAGTGGTCACTCTGGGGTGCAGTGGTCACTCCGGGGGTGCAGTGGTCACCCTGGGGTGCAGTGGTCACCCCGGGGTGCAGTGGTCACTCTCCGGCCATTCCCCAGGCCTGTCCCCTGGTCAGATCTACTCCTACCCCGCCCGCTGCTGGCGCAAGAAGCGGCGCCTGAACATCCTGGAGGCCCCGCGGCTGCGGCCCTGTGAGTGTCCGCAGCGGCCGGAGCGGCTGGAGCGGCCGGAGGGTGGCCAGAGGGTGGGCAGAGGGTGGCCAGAGGGTGGTCAGAGGGTGGTCAGAGGGTGGTCAGAGAGTGGTCAGAGGGTGGTCAGAGGATGGTCAGAGGGTGGCCAGAGGATGGTCAGAGGGTGGCCAGAGGGTGGTCAGAGGATGGTCAGAGGATGGTCAGAGTGGCCAGAGGGTGGTCAGAGGGATGGTCAGAGGATGGTCAGAGGGTGGTCAGAGGATGGTCAGAGTGGCCAGAGGGTGGTCAGAGGGATGGTCAGAGTGGCCAGAGGGTGGTCAGAGGGATGGTCAGAGGATGGTCAGAGGGTGGTCAGAGGATGGTCAGAGGGTGGTCAGAGGATGGTCAGTGTGGTCGGAGGGTGGTCAGAGGGTGGTCAGAGGATGGTCAGAGGATGGTCAGAGGGTGGTCAGAGGGTGGTCAGAGGGTGGCCGGAGGGTGGTCAGAGGGTGGCCGGAGGGTGGTCAGAGGATGGTCAGAGGATGGTCAGAGGATGGTCAGAGGATGGCCAGAGGGTGGTCAGAGGGTGGTCAGAAGGTGGTCAGAGGGTGGTCAGAGGATGGTCAGAGGGTGGCCAGAGGATGGCCGGAGGGTGGTCAGAGGGTGGTCAGAAGGTGGTCAGAGGGTGGTCAGAGGGTGGTCAGAGGGTGGTCAGAGGATGGTCAGAGGGTGGTCAGAGGGTGGTCAGAGGGTGGTCAGAGGATGGTCAGAGGGTGGTCAGAGGGTGGTCAGAAGGTGGTCAGAGGGTGGTCAGAGGGTGGTCAGAGGGTGGTCAGAGTGGCCAGAGGGTGGTCAGAGGGTGGTCAGAGGGTGGTCAGAAGGTGGTCAGAGGGTGGTCAGAGGGTGGTCAGAAGGTGGTCAGAGGGTGGTCAGAGGGTGGTCAGAGTGGCCGGAGGGTGGTCAGAGGGATGGTCAGAGGATGGTCAGTGTGGCCGGAGCGGCCGGAGGGTGGTCAGAGGATGGTCAGAGGGTGGTCAGAGGATGGTCAGAGGGTGGTCAGAGGGTGGTCAGAGGGTGGCCAGAGGGTGGCCAGAGGATGGTCAGAGGATGGTCAGAGGGTGGTCAGAGGGTGGTCAGAGGGTGGTCAGAGGGTGGCCAGTGTGGCCAGAGGGTGGCCAGAGGGTGGTCAGAGGATGGTCAGAGGGTGGTCAGAGGGTGGCCAGAGGGTGGTCAGAGGGTGGTCAGAGGATGGTCAGAGGATGGTCAGAGGGTGGTCAGAGGGTGGCCAGAGGGTGGTCAGAGGGTGGGCAGAGGATGGTCAGAGGGTGGCCAGAGGGTGGCCAGAGGATGGTCAGAGGATGGTCAGAGGGTGGTCAGAGGGTGGCCAGAGGGTGGTCAGAGGGTGGCCAGAGGGTGGCCAGAGGGTGGCCAGAGGGTGGTCAGAGGGTGGCCAGAGGGTGGCCGGAGGGTGACCGGAGGGTGACCGGAGTGGCCAGAGGATGGTCAGAGGGTGGCCAGAGGGTGGTCAGAGGGTGGTCAGAGTGGCTGCAGGGTGGGCAGAGGCGTGTCCGGAGAATGTCCAGAGCGTGTCCAGAGCGTGTCTGGAGTGTGTCCGGAGCGTGTCTGTGGCATGTCCATGGCGTGTCTGGGCTATGTCTGGGCCGTGTCTGGGCCGTGTGGGTGGCGTGTTGGTGGCATGTGAGTGGCATGTGGGTGGCGTGTGGGTGGCGTGTGGGTGTTGTGTCGGAGGCGTGTCTGGACCATGTGGGTGCCGTGTGGGTGGCGTGTGGGTGGCATGTGGGTGGTGTGTGGGTGGCATGTCAGTGGCATGTTGGTGGCGTGTCGGTGGCGTGTCAGTGGCATGTCAGTGGCATGTCTGGACCATGTGGGTGGCGTGTGGGTGGCGTGTGGGTGGCGTGTGGGTGGTGTGTGGGTGGCGTGTGGGTGGCGTGTTGGTGGCGTGTTGGTGGCGTGTGGGCGGCATGTCAATGGTGTGTCGGAGGCGTGTCTGGACCATGTGGGTGGCGTGTGGGTGGCGTGTGGGTGGCGTATCGTTGGCGTGTGGGTGGCGTGTCGTTGGCGTGTCGTTGGCGTGCCGTTGGCGTGCCGTTGGCGTGTCGTTGGCGTGCCGCCGCAGGCTGCGAGGCGCCGCTGCGCCGTGAGGGGGCGCTGCCCGAGGGGCCGGTGCTGGAGGCGCTGCTGAGCGCCGAGACCCCCGAGAGCCGCGACGAGGACGGGGCGCCCGACGGAGCGGTCAGTGCGTCCGTGTGTCCGTGTGTCCGTGTGTCCATCTGTGTTCCGTCCGTGTGTCAATCCGTGTGTCAATCCGTGTGTCCGTCCGTGTGTCTGTCCGTGTGTCTGTCCGTGTGTCCATCCGTGTGTCCATCCGTGTATCCATCTGTGTGTCCGTCCGTGTGTCCATCTGTCCATGTGTCCGTCCGTGTGTCTGTCCGTGTGTCCATCCGTGTGTCCGTCCGTGTGTCTGTCTGTCCGTGTGTCCATCCGTCTGTCCGTGCGTCCATCTGTGTGTCCATCCCTCCGTGTGTCCATCTGTCCGTGTGTTCATCCGTGTGTCAATCTGTGTGTCCGTCCGTGTGTCCATCCCGTGTCCGTCCGTGTGTCCGTCCGTGTGTCCGTCCGTGTGTCCATCTGTCCATCCGTCCATCCATGTGTCCATCCGTGTGTCCATCCCGTGTCCGTCCGTCCCTCCCGTGTCCGTTTATCTCCCAACCCCCGAATTCCCCCCAAAATCCCGAATTCCCCCAAAATCCCGAATTCCCCCCAAAATCCCGAATTCCCCCCAAAATCCCGAATTCCCCCAAAATCCCGAATTCCCCCAAAATCCCGAATTTCCCCACAAATCCCGAATCCTCCCAAAATGTCCCAATTCCCCCAAAATCCCCCAATTCTCCCAAAGTCCCAAATTCCTCCAAAGTCCCAAATTTCCTCCAAAACCTGATTTTCTCCCAAACCCAGAATTCCCTCGATTTCCCCCAAATCCCAAATTCCCACATTTTCTCCCAAACCCCAAATTCCCCTGAATTACCCCCAAAATCCCCAATTTCCCCAAAAATCCTGAATTTTGTCCCAAATCCCAAATTGCCCCAAAATCCCAAAGCCTCCAAAATCCCGAATTCCCAATCCCGAATTCCCATATCCCAAATTCCCAAAACGGAATTCCCCAATCCCGAATTCCCAATCCCAAATTCCCGAATCCCCAATTCCGCAATCCCGAATTCCCAATCCTGAATTCCCCAATCCCGAATTCCCGAATCCCCAATCCCAAATTCCCAATCCCGAATTCCCGATTTCCCCAATCCCCAATTCCCAAACCCGAATTCCCCAATCCCAAATTCCGAATCCCGAATTCCCAATCCTGAATTCCCCAATCCCAAATTCCCGAATCCCCAATCCCAAATTCCCAATCCCGAATTCCCGAATTCCCGAATTCCTGAATTCCCAATCCCAAATTCCCAATCCCGGATTCCCGAATTCCCAATCCCAAATTCCCCAATGCCGAATTCCCAATCCCCAATCCCGAATTCCCAGATTCCCGAATTCCTAATCCCGAATTCCCAGTCCCGAATTCCCAATCCCGAATTCCCGAATTCCCAATCCCGGATTCCCGAATTCCCGAATTCCCAATCCCGAATTCCCAATCCCGGATTCCCGAATTCCCGAATTCCCAATCCCCAATCCCGAATTCCCGAATTCCCGGGTTCCCGGATTCCCAATCCCGAATTCCCGGGTTCCCAATCCCGGATTCCCGAATTCCCGAATTCCCAATCCCCAATCCCGAATTCCCAATCCCGAATTCCCGGATTCCCGGATTCCCGAATTCCCGGGTTCCCGGGTTCCCGGGTTCCAGAAGCCGCCTCCCCCCGAGTTCCCGCACGACCCCGACGGGGAGGAGCCGGACGATGACGCGCCCCGGAGGAAGAGCAAGGCCAAGGGCAAGGTGAGCGCCGGCGGACGGACGGACGGACGGACACCGGGATGGACACGGGGATGGACGGAGGGACAGAGGGACAGATGGAGAGATGGACAGAGGGACAGAGGGACAGAGGGACAGATGGAGAGATGGACAGAGGGACAGGTGGACAGATGGACAGATGGACAGAGGGACAGAGGGACAGAGGGACAGAGGGACAGAGGGACAAGTGGACAGATGGACAGAGGGACAGAGGGACAGATGGACAGAGGGACAGAGGGACAGAGGGACAGAGGGACAGATGGACAGGGGGACAGAGGGACAGAGGGACAGAGGGACAGGTGGACAGAGGGACAGAGGGACAGAGGGACAGATGGACAGAGGGACAGAGGGACAGAGGGACAGAGGGACAG